CTGTACTGTATAAAATCAACAGAACACTAAAGTTCAACAAGTTCAACTTGACAAGGCTGAGAACAGGTGCTAATCATAACAGAGCAATGCCAAATTAATATTATAGATTGCAATACTGAGTGGTTTTGTTTCACCTTATCTCCCTGAATTGATTTCATTACTTTCAAGTTTTCTATTCTAAACACCAATTCACAGTATTCTGGAGGTAATCTCAAAATGATTTCTGCCTTTATGGAATTAAAGTCCTAGTGAATATGAACTTTAGCGTGACACTTTTGCAAAACTAGAAACTCATGCTTTCAAGGCCTCTGTGAGTCACATTTGAGAAAGGTCAACATTCTACAACTTTGAGTTCTCTTTGTTGTATGTTCTGAACTATAGTGGCATATATAGCTACAGCTAAAAGAAATGAAATGTTTTCTTCTCAGGTGTGAGTATAAAAACTCACATGACACATAAGTCTTCAAAAATATTGTTTTATAGAACTTTTTCTTGTGTGGATTCTCTATTCTTACCATCCTTATTACTTTTATAGGACTTATCACCAACATGAATTCTGTGATGAATTGTAAGATTTGATCGCCAACTGAAGCTTTTGCTACATATCTCACATGTGTAAGGTTTCTCCCCTGTGTGAACTCTCTGATGAGACTGTAGTTGTGAGGACCGACTGAAGCCTTTACCACACACATCACATTTATATGGTTTCTCTCCAGTGTGGACACTCTGGTGAAGCTGAAGACTTGAAGCCTGACTGAAGTACTTACCACATTCCCCACACTTATATGGTTTTTCTCCAGTGTGGACCCTCTGATGCATGTCAAGATTCAAGCTCCATTTGAAGCCCTTCCCACACTCCTCACATTTGTATGGCTTTTCGCCAGTGTGGACTTTTTGATGGGCTTGAAGGTGTGAGCTCCGACCAAAGCTTTTCCCACATTCCTCACATTTGAATGGCTTTTCTCCACTGTGGACTCTTTGATGGGCCAAAAGATTTGAGGCCTGCCTGAAGACCTTCCCACATTCCTCACAATTATAAGGTTTCTCTCCTGTGTGAATTCTACAATGAATTTTAAGATCTGCTCTCCGACTGAATCCCTTTCCACATTCTTCACATTTGTATGGTTTCTCTCCAGTGTGAATTAATTGGTGGATCTGAAGTCGTGAGCTCTGATTGAAGCCCTGCCCACACACTTCACACTTAAAAGGCTTTTCCATGTTGTGGGCCTTCTCATGGATTTGAAGATATGAACTCTGACTAAATCCCTTCCCACATATCCCACATTTGTAGGGCTTCTCTCCTGTGTGGACCACTAGATGAACTTGATAATGGGAGTTCCTCCTGAAGCTCTTCCCACACTCTTCACATTTGTATGGTTTCTCTCCAGTATGCACTCTCACATGGGCTTGAAGATTCGAACTCAGAGTAAACCCTTTACCACATACAGTACATATGTATGATTTCTCTCCTGTGTGGACTCCCTGATGGGCTTGAAGACTTGAAGGTCGACTAAAGCCTTTGCCACATTCCTCACATTTATAGGGTTTTTCGCCTGTGTGGACCCTCTGATGAATGTAAAGATTTGAGCTACAAATAAAACGCTTCCCACATTCCTCACATTTGTATGGTTTCTCTCCTGTATGGACTCTCTGATGGGACTGAAGATGTGAATTCCGACTAAAGCTCTTACCACATGCATTACAACTGAATGGTTTCTCCCCTGTGTGAACTCTCTGATGGTCCTGAAGATGAGAGGCCTGACTGAAGGCCCTCCCGCACGCCTCACAATTATAAGGCTTCTCTCCTGTGTGGACTTTATAATGAACCTTAAGGGCTGATCTACGACTGAAATTTTTCCCGCACTGCTCACATTTGTATGGTTTCACTATTGTGTGAACTTTCTGATGGGTCTGTAGATGTGAGCTCAGCCTCAATTCTTTACTACACTCATGTTTCTCTCCCAAGTTAGCTCTCTGATGAACACAAAGAACTGAGGCATCCTGGGGGCCTTTTCCACACTCAATATAGGTCTGAGACTTCTCTCCAGAGGGTAACTGCTGCTGAGGATCAAAGCTGGAGAAATCAGTGAAAGCCTTTTCAAACTCCTTACACTGGTAAGGTTTCTCTCCTGGTTGAATCATCCTATGCTGATATAATGTTGAAATCTGTACGTTATCTTTCCTATAATCATTGGAGCTATAAGATTTTTCACTTTTGTGTTCACTTTTGTGTGAAATCCAGCTGATGTGGTCAACACCTTGTTTACACTGACACAGTTTATGTTTCATGGAAATTTGCTGACATCTATTCTGATAGTTCTGTGATTCGGTCAAGGAAGTTTTCCTCCATGAATCCTGGGTTTTAAAAGTTGAAAATTCTGGATCTCCATTATCATTGAGAACATCTCTTTCATGATTTTCTAGACAGTTTTCATCTTCAGAAATTTGAATACACAGTCCTACCCCAACATGGCAGCCAGCATCATCTTGTTTGTGGAATTGAGTATTATTTATCATGGAGTTGTGAAATGTGGTCAAGTCACTTGTAATTTGTTGCCAGATTTGCCAGCAGGAAAGCTCTTCATGGGATCCTCTGTCTTGAACAGTCCTTAACTCTCTTTGTTTATCCTCTAAGGACAAAGAATTTAGAGATATATAGACAAGTAAAAGCTTTTTTCAAAGATTCACACTCAGGACACAGTTAAGACACTTTAATTAGAATTTCACAGTGACTCAGGTCATCTTTTTCATCATAGATAAAGTTTTCTGATTTGTACTCTGGTAGAGACCAAGAGATAATCCAATAAGTTCCCAACTACTAACTATTAATGAAACCCATTTAAAAACACAATTATTGATATATTCTCTAAATCTTTTTAAATTTATGTCTTTCCTACTACAACACAGTGTCAGTAAGGATAAAAAATTTATGGGGCTCAGAGCTTCATAACCACTGCCCAGGACAGAGTCTGGTAGTGAGAAGGTGCTCAAGCAATACATGGATAGATGAACTACAGTTTGACTTGTAGGATTCTCTACTACTGTAAGCCTATGTTTAAGTTTGAGCTAATTCATACTCAAAAGAGCTTTCTGAAGTAGCATATTTGAAATACAAGAACTAGAAAATGCAGTTTTTCTGAGTGGCACACCATGTGGGTGGATGCCCAGGAGAAAATCAGGTCGTAAGAATCACTTGGGCTGAATCATGAAACCTGGTACACTGAATCCTCCTGAGTGTTTTTTTTTTTTCTAGTGCCGAGCATTGAACTTAAGACTCAAGGTCTCAGGCCTGCTAGGCAAGAGCTCTGCCATGGAGCTGCATCATCAGCCTCTTTCAGAGGTCTTTGCACTCTCTCTAGAATGTTTTTACTTCCCCAAGATGAGTCAAAATTCAGAGACAAGAAAAGAATGCAAAATTCTAAATGTACTGTAGCTATATTTTGCCTTTAACAACCTGTTTTCCTATTTCTTTTTTTTAAACAAGATTGTTTTCCAGATTAATAAATGAGGTCTATTAGTGAGCTGTGAAATAAGCTTAAAGGCTCATGATAAATATTTAGAAGAAATAGATCAAAAATAGAGATTCAGCACAAGCAGTAATGGTGTCATTATGCCTTCTAAAGTCATATAAATCTATGTACACGTGGAATGTTTGTAGTGATAACAATGAAAGATCCGTTTCTTTTTGTGGTTATGGAATGAAGCTGGGCAAATATTTTAAGGAAAAGGCTAATTCACAGTTAGCTACTTTCTGAGACTTTTTCTTCTCTGATATAAGATTTTATGTGCAAATAAAGTAGACAAAAAATATTTCCTCCTGAAATTAATATGCTCTACTATAATTACTGAAATACAGTCACTGAGAAAGTATGTTACTCTGTTTGGTTACTATTAGAATACTACAGGTTCCCTAAGATCTGGATCAACTTGAACAGACAAGCAAATACACATACACAGGCCCCTAGGAAGTTAGAATTAGGTTAGGAATGCATCTGAAGACAAAAAAATATTTTGCAAAATCTTTTATTTACCCTGGTGTGTGCACCTATTAGCTATCTCCATGGAAGACAGCTTTTCACTCCATTCACTCATTCATCTATTCACCCTGTCGTGTACTGTGACTGTTCTAAGAATTGAGGAAACAGCAAAAAAGAAGAGGCAAAAGAACTACACTCCTAAAGAATAGTGAATATATGAGGTGATGATCAATGTATAGACACAAAATAAGGCAGGGCACATACAGTAAAGGGAGGACTGTATTTTTACTAGGGTGATCAGAAGAGGTCTCTCATGATACTAAAAATGAGCCATGGGTCTGGGCATGTAGCTCAGCGGTGAAGCATTTGCCTAGCATGCAGAAGGCCCTGGATTCAAACCTCAGTATTGCAAAAGCAAATACATATAACTACAGAAAAACTCAGCAGAGACTTGAATGAACGTAAGAAGGGGGCAGGAGAATTACAGGTGAATAAGTATCCCAGACAGAGAGGACACATAAAGGGCTCTGAGGCAGAAGCCGCCTTGGCAGGTCTAAGAAACTGCAGGGAGGACAATGTGGCTGGAAAGACTGAAAATGAGGGAGAGGACAGGAGAGGTAGTGGAGAATGAAGACCAGACCACAAAGGACTCTATTGGCTACTTTTTAAGCAGAGGTTTTTTTGTTTTGTTTTGTTGGTACCGGGGATCGAACTCGGGTCCTTGTGCTTGCGCAGCAGGCGGTGAAACCACTGAGCTAAATCCCCAGCTAGACAGAGGTTTAACTCCAAGTAAAAAAACCACAAGAGAATCTGGGGCCAAGAAATAACACACTCTAACCTAAGGCTAAAGGCTCACTTTAGGGAACAGGAGGTAGGAGGCGGGTTGGAGCAGGGCAACCAGTGACGAGGCTACTGCAATAATCCGGAAGAGCGCTGGCAATCTGGAGCAGGTGATGGCAACGACGGCAATGAGGGAAGCAGACAGACAGTAACTGCAAGAACTTATAAGTGCTTGGTCCTTACCTAAACTTCTTTCTCTCTGGGTTTCCGCCTTCATCATCCAAAGCTTCTCATCTCTTTCTACATGCGACCTGTCTTGTTTGAAGAGTTGATGCTCTATGAAGATGCAGAGTTATATAAGTTTAAACCAAACACACTGAACTAAAATTTACTAAAAACTTGAGTTTCAACTTCAAATTTGAGTTGAAGACACTGAAAGTATTTTTTTAAAACTTTCTCTCAAACCTATGACCCACTGAAGAATACCATTTATTTCATGACTGACACATGCATAATTTATATTATTTTTTTAAAGTTTGAAGGACCTATTTTTAACTAATGCCTGTTTTCAACAATTCTCCTCCCATTGGCTCTCACACTACTCACCCAATTGGCCAGTTTTTGATACAGTATGTACCATTCTTCCTGAGCAGCACTGATACTTTCATTAGAAAGTGCTCATAGGGGCCTGGGCATGTAGCTCAGTGGCAAGAGACTTGCCCAGAATACAAGAAAGAAAAACTGCTGGTAGGATTCAATAATAAATCGCTTTTATAATTCACTAACGGGACAGGAGTGAAATCTGAAAAAGAACAAAACAAGGAATAGCAGTATACTGTCCATTCAGGTTTTGTTTTTACAAAATACAATAGAAAAAGACCTGAAATATTCTGTTCACAAAGAGTAGGAAAATCCTGTCTCTGCATTCCATAGGAGTTAGCAAAGACAGTTCATTTCAAGAGCCCCAAACTAGGCATAGGGGCACATGCCTGTAATCCTAGCACTCAGGAGGCTGAGGCAGGAGAATCACTGTGAGTTTGAGGCCAGTCTGAGCTACTTAGTGAGTTCGAGGCCAGTCTGAACTATACAGTGAGACCCTGTCTCAAAACAAAAAAAAAGAGATCCAAAGCTTTAAAACTCCAAGGTCACAAAGATAACTCCAGAGGAAGGCTCCTCACCCACTGAGACCAGGTTCCTGAAATTTTCCACCATCACGTCTTGGTACAGCTTCCTCTGGGCAGAGTCCAGCAGCCCCAGCTCCTCCTCAGTGAAAGCCACAGCCACGTCCTTGAAGGTCACTGCTTCCTACAATAAACACACACGTGACCTCAATGTAACAAACAGCGTCCACTGGAAGAGGGGTAGCAGTACGAGGGTGGGGCGAGAGGGTGGGAAGCTTCCCTGGATTCGGAATCATTTGTAGATTTTCTGCTTCTTTTCCTTCCAACTCATGATGCTACACACTAGTTCTCCTCTTCCTCACCAATAATGCTGCTATCAGAAAACTTTTGAGTATTTACCTGGTGCTCTTAATGAGCACTGTAATATGTAAACTCTCTAGCCATCTGTTGCATCCTGAATGAAAAAACAGTTTACATTTTAATTTACATCACCAATTTGCCATAATTATTTTCCAATTTACTTCCAACAGTGTCTGACAGCACCTGCCTTCCCGCTTAGGTGGGAACCAAGTGAAAAGTAGCACAATATTTTCAAACAAACCAAATAGGCATGCCGGACCTCTGAACGATAGTTTCTGACTGTTTCCATCTTTCACTAAGATACAATACCTGACTCCTTAGTTTTCCATGTGAGCTTGAGTGGGTTTCTCATTTGCCACAACCCCTTTCTTTATGTTTATAATGAAGATGAAACCAAGTACCCCCTCATCCTGTTGCTCTGTGGCATAAATGCAGTGATGGAGCACACATGCCTGCAAGTCTGTGTAGTACCAACAGATTAAAAAAAAAATACAAAGGAGCTAGGCATGTAGCGCAGGCCTGTAAACCTAGTGCTCTGGCAGGCTGAGGCAGGAGAATTTCAAGTTTGAGCCCAGTGTGGGGAACTCAGTGATACCTTGTCTCAAGATTGGAAAGGGCAGGGCAGGACAGGGGACAGAGAGGCAGGCATGAATATAGTTCAGTGCAAAACCCCACATATATACAAAAAAAAAAAATAGATCAGTAAGTAAAAGATACACAGGGTGTGACTTGGGCATGGGAACTCAGAATCTGGCTCTTGTAGTGCAAAAACGTCTTAACAATATGTTTTCTGCTAGCACCAGTCAAAACTGATGCTCTGTGCCACATGTGAATATTCTACGAAAAATATTCAAGGTATCAAATATAAAACATTTCTTTTCAGTTCTGGATAGTTAGCATGTTAAAAATTTTAAAAAGGAGTATTTTTCAAAAATGATTCTTTCAGAAAAAGCTGAATGCAGGAAAATTGTCAGTTTAGTGTTCTTAAAACAGCAAAACTCCTAAACTAACCACATACCTAGATACAATAGTTTAAAAGCTGGGTACATAAATTTGATGGAAGGATACTGCAATGAAAAATGAATGCTGTTCAATATTAAAGAAGAAAACACAAATTCAATTGAATCTAGGGGGCTGAAGATGCAGTTCTGTGGTAGAGTGCTTGCCTACTAAGCATGCGTGAGACCGAGGGTTCAATCTCCAGCACCACAAAAAAATAAAAATAAATTGTATCTATGTTATAAATACAAATATATGAATATATATGGTGCAATTACAGATATATAAAAGCAGCTATTTTGTAAGCATAGATTATTTTCATGTCCATTATTTTTCTACTCTTATTTGTATTATAAAAAATGATGAAATAAAACCAAAACTAGTTAAACTTAAAAGGGTCAAAATGAACTCTACAGCACACTCTACAGGTCCTCAAATGCACTAACTCTTTGAAAGAGGAAAACTTCCAATCTCTGAGTATTAAAGTGGCATTTTTTTTTTTTTTTGGTACTGAGGATCGAACTCAGGTCCTTGCGCTTGCACAGCAGGCGGCGAAACTACTGGGCTAAATCCCCGGCCCTAAAGTGGCATTTTTTAATAGGGAGAAAGGCAAGCTCTACTCACCTTCAACATGCTCATTTTTAAGTCTTCCTTCTGGGAAGGCACAGAGCCCTAAGGCGGCAGAACTACAATGAGAGAAATTCAATGGAAACTGAGCAAGTACATCGCTAATCCACATGCCCCTCCTTGTGAATCTGCTGAAGTACTTGGCTCCCTGTGACTTATGAATAGAACACGACACTGACATCAGGTGCCTCCTTTACCCCTTTCGGTGATAGTTCACAGAACAACCCGTCCAACCACACTGGGTGGCCCTCACATCAGTGTACCTGTACTTGCACACTAATGACTCCTACTCTGGGTCTGGTATACACTGAAGACAGTAACGGACTGTAGGCTCTGAAATTGGTATGTGTGGGTTGAAATGGTGGCACAGCTACTCACTAGTAGTGTCACCCTGGGGAAATTATTAACAAGTCTGCCTCAGTTCTGTCATCTGCAAGAGGGAACAAACAAGTCAACCTCAAGGAGAGTCACAAGGTAGAAAGCTCTTAGAGCACTGCCAGAGTTCCTTTTTTAACAGCTCCAATAAGTAGGTGATAGTACATAGTTTGAAATTATCCTTAAAAATGTGGTATTTACCTACAGAATATTTTAAGGTACCTGGAGTTCACAAGTTACTGCTCTTTCATGTGAAAGTTTATTATAATGTCTGAAAATAACTCTGGTTGTCTTTTCAATAATTTGCTATCTCAACAAAAATATTTATATATTTTATTGTTTCTGTGGTGCTGAGGGCCAAACTCAGGGGCTTACACACACATACCCCAGCCCTTAATATTTCTTTCTAAGTGGGAAGTGTCCTTTTGGCATACATACATGGCGGTTAAGAAACTAATAAAACATAAGACACTGCAATGAACAAACAATATGACAATCTACACCTAATTTAAATGAAAAGTGCAAGAATCTGAATCCATATTGTTACAAACAAAGGAACATATAGTAAGTGGACATAAAGAGAAAGTAGGATACATAAGCTAATACAGGAATTTGATACAGTAGAATACAGGTAGAATAAAAGATAATTAGAAAGTCATCAATGGATAGTAAAAAATCAGTGAAAATCTAATGAGAAATAAGATGGCTATGCAGTTTCAAAGACTTAATTACAGAGGAAAGAAGATAACTTGGCAAGTACCTTAACCAAAAGAACAAAGTTGAGACCACCAGTAGGACAAATACACAAATTGACATTTAATTCCTCATATGATGCAGAGAAGTTTGCCTTATCACTTCTGTGGCATCTCTGCTGATAATAATCAACAATATCAAATAGGGCCAGGGATTTAGCTCAGTGGTTCTGGTGCCTGCTTCACAAGCGCTGGATCCCAAGTTTGATCCCCGGTACAAAAGAAAAAAAAAAAGAATATCAAATAAAAAAAGAGGGACATGCTATGAAATAATCTGCCAATACTTTACAAAAATATCAGGAGAAAAAAAAAAATCTGAGGAATCACTCTAGATTAAAATGACTAATGAAACAAAAACTAAGTGTAATGTATATAATTAGACTGGTCTCTCAGGAAAAAATTTCTCTTAATATGGACTGTGGATTAGATAACAGTATGCTATCAATGTAATTAATTAACTGCATTTTAATCTTTGACTCTAGCTTGCACTCAAATGCTTCAACAACAATACACACACGCACGCACGCACACACACACACACACACACGCACGCACATGGGAAGCTGTGAAAAAGAAACAGAAGTAGCAGCAGCTCTGTCAATGAACAACAGGAAGAGTCAGAACTTGGTGAATCCGGCAAAGTCATTCAGTGATCACAGCAAACAAGAAAAAAACAAGAGTCTACAACACAGAGAGACACATCCTACAATGACAAAACCAACCAAATGAGTATCTCTCCTGGCTAACATGGGCGACTGGTTTACTTTCAGGAGTAACTTTAATCTCACCTTGCTTCTCCCACCTCCTAGGTAAAAATTATTACAATAGTTAGGTATCAAATTACATCTTCTTTTTTTTTTTTTGGTACCGGGGATCAAACTTGGGACCTTACACTTTCGAGGCAGGCGCCAGAACCACTGAGCTAAATCCCCAGCCCAAAAGAAGCCTAAATTTATTTATTTATTTATTTTTTATTATTTTTATTTTTTTGGTACCGGGGATCGAACTCAGGTCCTTGCACTTGCACAGCAGGCGGCAAAACCACTGAGCTAAATCCCCGGCCCTACATCTTCTTGATAGCATCCAGTGCAGAACAAACACCCACTGCCTAAAATTCTTCTCAAATCAGCTAACACAAGTTAAACCCTTATATTTACCTCCTCCTAACGGCCTCTTCCCAAGACACCCAATACCTGATTCTCTGCAGTGAGTGGCTTCCTTGTGGCAGCAAGCTACAACAAACTTAAATGTCTTTGGGTACAGGTACATACCTGGTATTATTTGGCAGATGGTCACTGACAGAACAAATAGGCAATACACAATTGGTGAATCTGGGCTGCGTACATGAGATTTCTTTATATCATTCCGGCAAGTTTTCTATAACTGTAGAATTACATAAAAAAGTAAAAAGTTAAAAATCAGGAAATTCTCATAGTAGTAACAGTAATAGTAGTAACAATGAAGGAGGTAACTATAGCAATAATATTTAACATTATCAATAACCAGCAATCTTCAAGAAGTCCTCTGGTACAAAAAAGGGCAATAACTCCACTACCACAGCCTGAGAGAAACACATCTCTATGACTTCTAACAGAGCTCAGTTCAACTCTAGACTTGCCAGCTGCCTTCCCTCATGTCCTGATTTTGCTAAGATTTGATAGTTTGTGGAAAAGAAAATCTCACTGGACTAAGTAGGAGTCTAGTGTGGGCAGCTCAGTTTTATTTGTGACATTAGGCTGGGCCAATTTTCTAAGCCCAAGTTTCTAGATTAAGATCCTTTTCTAAGCTTCTCAAACTTCAGCCTGCATAGGAATCAACCTTGAAGTCTTGTTGAAATGCACATCCCTGGATTCCAGATGCAGAAATTCTAAATGAGGACTTGGGTGGGGCTCATGGACAGACATTTCTACTTAGGTTATGCCAACGCTTCTGGCTTATGAATCACAGCTTCAGAAGCACCATAGTCCCAAAGAAAGCAGCCTCCTCTACGCAGAAGCACACACAAGAATAATCTGACAAAAAGGCACTCATAATTGTTACAATTACTTCCTAAGGTTGTGGATAATTCAATTTTTTCTTTATATATTTCTGTATTTCCTGAAATTTCCATGATTAAATGTTACTTCCATGATATAAATATTACTTGAAAGAAACAAAATGAAATAGTTGAGAAAACTATTTTTAAACATCCATACAACAGGCAAAACCTTGCTCTCACGGTCCTCACAATGAAGTCCCAACCGATTTTCATGTGATGGTACCAGTTTCCTACTTGTTAGGGAACATATAACAGTGATTATGAACTCAGAATACCTAGTTTTACCAACACTAGTCCTGCCACCTACAACTTGTGACACCAAGGGCAAACAAGTTGTCTCCTCATCTGTGGAGTAGCAAAAATAGCAGTACCACTTACCAGAGCCCCTGTGAGGGGCTTCGTCTGCATAAAACCCTTAGAAACTCGGCAATTAATGCTTAATTATAATCACCTCCCAGGCCCGAAGTACATGATCCACACATTCTCCGATGTATGTGAATATTTTTGTAGAAAAAGGAAAGTCTTACATAGGACTCTGTCACCTCCTCCTCTTCCATGCAGCGCTTTTTGAGAAATCCGGGCTAGGAAGGAATAAAGGTGGTCAAATTCCAGGATTGTGTCTCTACCTCCGATAAATTACAGTAACATCCCCTGATTCAGCAACCCTCTCCCAACTAAAAATATCTTTCTTAAGGGTAGGTCAATCCAGCTTCCTGGGCTTAAAGAAGCTCATTGGGAAGCAAGCATTTCTTGGAAAATTAGACTAGTATCGCTAACAATCCATATGTTAAAAGCCTGTTGGACTCATCAATTTTTCTCAAATTATTCTGTTAGCAAGACATAACTTCTCCCTCCTTCCCTCCCTTTTCTGAAGATGAAATGAAGGCAGATGGATTAATTAACCCGCCTCGGGGATAATATAGGAAATGGAAGGGCTGGCTAGCGACACCGGCTTGTGGGGACCCTCCAACCCTGTAAAGCGCAACCGAGGTCCGCCCTCACCTGATTCGCCTCCAACTCAAAGCATCCTGCCCTGGGGAACGCAAAACGGCAGCTTTGCCCCTCAAACCTTCGCTTTTTGCCGTTCCTCTTTTTTCTCCCCAAACGAAAGACTATTAACTCTTGGTCCCAAAAGCATTTGGGAGAAAATGAATAGGTTCCGGGGGAAATGACCAAAAAGATTACTCAAATAAGGGAAAAGATGGCAACTACGCCGCCCTCCTAGAGCGGAAGTACTTATGACTACGAAGAGTTCTCCGAACTACATTTCCCAGAGTGCATATGCACAGTTTTTCTGGAGCGTGGAGCGTGGAGTGTCTCGGACGCCAGGCGGCCCTGGGCTACATTGTCCCAGAATGCAATAGAGGTGACTTTCCTTTCCAATTTGTATGTCTTTCGCATATTTTCCATTCCTTTCGCACACACTAGGATTGCTTATAAGCTCTAGTCTATTCTCAAGTATTATTTTTGTCTAGTGTAATAAAGCAAATTCAGATATGTCATTTTGCGTATAAACATTTTAGTATTGATCTATTACTAATGGGAACATCATTTTAAAAGCTTAAACACATGGGCTGGGGATTTAGCTCAGTGGTTCTGCCGCCTGCCTTGCAAGCACAAGGTCCCTAGTTTGATCCCCGGTAACACCCCCCCCCAAAAAAAAGCTTAAACACATGATGCAATTATTCATTTAAGAAAAATAAAAATATTAATAATTTATACCCATATCCTGTTAAAAATTCTTCATTTGCCTTAAAGATGTCTATTTAGGACAAAATATTTGAAATTAGATCTCCAAAATGAAAGGGTCGCCGAAGAAGCGGGGACACACGGACGTTCAAGCAAGCTTTATTGGGGCGGCAGTCTGCAGCCTGCCGGGCTGACTCACAGAATGGAGACCAGCAACTGCATGGGCTGAGCTGGAAGCTTATATAGGGATCTTGCAGGTGGGAGAGCATTAGTCCATTGGTGGGGGTGGGTGATTGGGCTGGGGTATGTAGCAACAGGTTTCGGTCAAGGGGGATGGAGTCACCGCTTTCAGGAAGCCCCTATCTTACTGGAACATCTGACCACGAAACCGAAACCGGTGGGGCAGAAAGACCTTAACTAGGCAGAGAGTCACTAACAAAGGGAGCTCTTGCCTTAGTTATGCGGAAGTTCCCTGTTCCCTGTGGCCCGAGTGGGTCAAGGGGAAAGAAGAGGAGGGGGCTTGCTCTGTGGGGGCTCTGAAATACCTAACACAAAATAACCAAATATTTACTGGCTATGATTATTAAATATTGTTCTATACTAGTGCTCTATTCGTTTATATTGTATGTTACTGAACTCATGGAAAATCATATCATTTCCCCTACACATCATAATTCTTTTTTTTTTTTTTTTTTTTTGGTACCCGGGATCGAACTTGGGACGTTGGCGCTTGTGAGGCAGGCAGCGGCACCACTGAGCTAAACCACCGGCCCAAAGGTTTGTTTTTCTCTCTGCATTGAATTCCCTTTGCAGTTGTAGTTTTCTTCATTTGTTTGTTTTATTTTGTCTTTCTGGGTTTGGTTTTGTTTGGTTTTGGTTTTGGTACCAGAGATCGAACTCAGAACCTTGCGCTTGTGGGACAGGCACCGGAACCACTGAGCTAAGTCCTCGGCCCTGACATCATAGTTCTTATTTGGGTGACTGCATCTGCAATGCTAAAAATTATAAGGCAGTGGAACAATAATTACAAGAATTTGGCATCTTTAAATTATTTAATGTTCTGTACTCGTGTAAAACCCCTTCAAAGAACTATCCCTGGCTTAAGACAACATACGGCACACAGAGAGGACACAGAATTTCTTTCTGACATAGTATGATAAAATATATTAACATAATTTAAAATATTCATTCACTTTCTTTTCTCCATGGCACTTCCATTCTCTTCATAAGCAACCATTCTAATTTGTATCATGTATTTCTCTTGGATGTGTTCTTGTGCAAAATGTATGATAGATAGATAAAAAGATAGATAGATAGATAGATATTAATAAATAGATATAGATAGAGTTTTTTGAAGTCTACTACAACCATCAGATGGTAGTGCAAGTATGACCCTGACTGAAGGACATTAAGAAGAAATATTTGGTGCATCAAATTGAGGCTGCCTTGTAATCTAAGCAGACTTATTCACGGCTGTCAGAGAGCCCTTGAAAAAAGGAACTTCATATTCCTTTATGATCATTATTTGATAGTAAAATTATTTAATGTTGGCCAATGGGAGTCTCTTTAAGCTGGAATTCCTGCCTTTCTACATGTTCCACAATCTTCCCTACTTGCTGGCAGAACAAGGTGTTCTTGTTAAGTGATTTTCCTCGCTAGCTCCATGAAATCAGCCAACTTGAGACCCAGCCTTAAGTGTTTCGGCTCCCGGGATGGAGTAGGCTAACATTAGCATGTGCATTTCAATGAAACTGACATCACCTAAACTGTACACTCTGAAAATAATTATCTTCCAGAAATTGTACTCTCAAGTATATGTTCAAGAGAACTGAAATATATCCACACAAAAGATGTGTAGAAAATGTGCATAGTACCATAAGTCATAAAAGGAAAAAAATGAGGAAACCCAATGTCCACAAACTGAGTGGATAAATAAAAAGTAATATATGCATACAATGCAATATTATTTGGCAATTAGAAGAAGTGAAGCATCAACTCATGTTACAACACTGACAAACTTCGAAGACAGGATGTCATGTGAAAAAAGTCAGACACAACACACTGGGAAATGATTCCATATATATTAAATGTGCACACTAGGCAAATCTGTAGAGACAGAAAGTAGATTTGTGTTTTGCAGAGGCTATGGAGGTGGAGTTGCTAATGAGGAATGACTGTTAATGTGTAGGGTGTTTCTTTGGGGGCAGATGAAAGAGTTCTAGGATTAGATGATTGCTGCACAACATTGTGAATCTTTTCAAACATAGATAAAAGATATGTGACAACTTCCTATCCTGTAAAGTGTTAAAATATAGCTAAGAAGAAATCCTCAGGGGTCGGAAATGAACAAGGAAGTCAACTCCATAGATAGTGACAACTGGGAGCTGAAATAGAACGGTCCCACAAGGGCTGAGGAGTACCAGATATAGAGCGAGGGAATTGATCTTGAGTATGAATGAAAGTCAAGGTTAGCAGCCCAGTGCACTTTGGGAAACATAAACTATAGAAGACTACAAATGAGACAGCTCTTTTTTTTTTTTTTAACAGTTTATTCACAAAGTTGCTTTAATTTGGAAACTGTTCAAAGAAATCAATTAATGAAATAGTCTGGTCATTTGGCTATCATAAAACCTATGTGTATATGTAAAAATAGAAAGAATAAAACACTCTTCCTTCCAGAGGCTCACAAATCAGAAGCCTTTTAGTAATATAAAGTAATTATACCTTAGAATGCTTTTCAAAGGCACAAAAAAACATGAATTCCAAGTCCATTTTATAGACTTTAAGAAATATAGTACCCCTGGCTTTTCCTCTAGCATCTTTCAAACTTGCACCTGGGTTTATAGGCAGTGAAGGGGACCAGTTGTTAAGAATTTACTTTCTTCAAGTGGAAGAGGCCAGAAATCCATGAACTGAGTGGAGATGAGCAGCAGAAAGCACCAGTTCAGCTGGCCAGTGGAGAGGGGTCCCCATGGAGCCTCCTAGCCTGGGCCGCTTCGCTCAGGCTCCTGCTGCCTGTCCAGAGCTCCAGACTCCCAGTGGACAGCAGGCTGCCCTCTGGCTTGTTGGTTCTGCACACCTCCTCCCAGGTATCTTCAGCAAGGTTCACAGGCTGCATCACCCACAGGTCTGTCATCAGCTTCTCCTAGGTGGTGCGCTGCTCAGGGGCAGCCTGCAACAGCCCAGACACAAGGCTCATGAGTTCTTGGGACACCAGGTATGGGGGATGGATGGCGGCCTCCATGGTCTCCTCCACCTCACAAAAAGGGGTTCTCCTCAAAGATCAGCATGTACAGGGTAACACCCAGAGACCACATCTGCTGCTCTGGCCCTCTGTAGACCCAGCAAGATGAACATCATCTTCACTTTGCACAGAAGAGCAGTGCCGAGATAGCTCTTTCTTGATTGAGAAACAATAATAACTCATGTAGCTCTCAGGTTCACAGCTATTTTGTGATCACCCTCAACAATAAGGTCATCAGGAGGTTATACATAAACTGTACTTGTAGTCTTATTAGTTAGAGGAGTCAATGGACTATTTTGGTTTAATCTACTGTGTTTTCTTTTCTTTTTTCTTTTTTTGCTTGTTTTTTTGGGTTTTTTGTTTGTTTTTTTGGTACCTCAGATTGAACTCGGGACCTTGCGTTTGTGAGGCAGGAGGCAGAACCACTGAGCTAAATCCCTAGCTCTACTGTGTTTTCTTACAAGTTACCTTGAAGAAGGAAAACTAACGTTGTATTGGTAATGAAAGATGAAAAGAAAGAATATAGGTACTGGATTTCTTATGCAGGTATACAGAAGAAGTTAAGATAGGACTGAGACTGCTATTCTTAGGTCTGCTTGCAATGTACTATGGTTTGAATGATGGTATCCCCTCCAATCTCCAAGCTGAAACTTAATTCCCTCTTGCCTTTCCTCCTTTCTGCCATGTGAACACTGTTCCCTCTGAAGGATGCAGCAACAAGGCACCATCACAGAAGCAGAAAGCAGCCCTTACCAGACACACAACCAGCCAGAGCCTTCATTTTGAACTCCCCCACCTCCAGTACAGCGATAAATAAATTTCTATTGTTTATAAATTACCCAGTCTGCGATATTCTGGTATAGCAACACAAATGGCCTAAGAAATAAGGTTAGCCTTTGATTGGTGTCTGGGTACCTGGATTTGGGGAGGATTTCCACACTTTCTTGATAAGTTACTTACAATGCCTAAGCTATTTGTACAATGTGGTTGATGCTGAATACCAGTTGTCCTTTGGGGAGTCTAGAATTTTAGAATGAGCTTAACAGAGGTTGCCTAAGTCACCATTTCCTAAAAAGAACCTAGGTCACTAAGACTCTGCTGAGATTCCCTGGTAGATATTTTTCACAGATTTTTTTTTTTTTTGTACCAGGGATCAAACTCGGGACCTTGCGCTTGCGAGGCAGGCTGCGGAACCACTGAGCTAAGTCCCCGGCCCAGATTTTTACAATCTAATGCTGAACTAACTTAGTAAATCATGTGTAACAGGCATAGGACTCTTGCAACCTTGCACCTGATTTTCCCCAGACTACATCCAATGAGCATTTTCCCTTTGCTAGTTTACTTTGTATCCTTTCACTCTAATATCATTATAGTGAGATATCAGTCATGAGTATGAAAAAATAGGGTGTCTTGAGTCCTCTTTGTGAATGACAGAATGTAGAGGTGGTCTTGGGAACAACTCATGCACCATGCAAATTGAGACAGCATGAACCTTAATAGGTACTGAGCATTATGCAAAGAGATGCTCCCGAAAATCAAGTGGGGGAACTGGTCTCCCGACTAGATGTAACTGATCGAGTAAAGCTCTTTATTCAACTACACTGAAAATATCACAATCATGTCTAAGTCATATGAAATGACATCCAAACCCACTTTGTCCTTACTGGCTCCACATTCCAGGGAAGGCCCACTGCTATTATGCTATGCTATGTCCTCTCCTTACTCATACCTTTCCTTCAGGGATCTTATTCTGGAATCCCTCCACAACATATGGATCTCCATTTTGTTTCTATTTCCAGGATATGCCTTCTCCCTGTTATGGATTGTAGCATGCCTTAACTGCAAAAATAGAGTTGTTCATACTCATCAATTTATCTGCATAGCCAAACAACCAGAAAATTATGTGCATTTGCGCAATTAGCTTCCACAGCACATTATTTAATTCTGGGATCTCCTGTCCCACATAACAATATGAAATGATCATATTTTGAGGCTCTACTTGTAAGGGATTATTTGGTACTTTTTCAAATACTATTGTACATAATTTATTGCTTTAATAACACTGTTCAATACAAAGCCAAAACAATTAATGAAATTACAAAATGGAAAAACTACCACAAAGTGCTCGTTGCTAAAGAAAATTAGTAAGGAAGAGTATCTCTTTACCCATTATCTTATGCATGTATACACATATAGACATATACTCACGAAGATTTAAGTTTGGATCTGCTACAAAAGCTACAATTTATGATCTTACAAAGCTCACATTATAGATATTTTCCATTTCTCCTGACATTATAGATATTTTCCATCATTTGAATGGCTTCAGATTAATAACATAGGAAATATATATATTTATTCATCAATTTCCTACAGATGAACACATGCTTCAACTTAAAAACAGTGAGATCACTGATATGTTGTTACATAATTTTTGGTATTTTAATTTCATAATAAAATTCTCCAGTTATATGATTTCCAGATCAAAAAGATGTACAATCTATGTTCTGATATATACTTTCTAAAACTGTGTTTTATTGCTACCAAGAAGGAAAAGTATGTGAATGTTGATTTTGCTTCAATGATAAACTTCATAAAATCATAAAATTTCCATAAGATATTTTGTTATTTACTTCATGGGTGTGGCGTAAGACTATGGTGTAGCACTTTCCTGAGAAGTTTTGATAAGAGAATGCTACAGTAATTGGAAAGCAATCATTTCAAAAAGTCTGTGTAGAAATTCAGAGAATTAGAAATCAATAATAAATCAAAGTCAATAAAGAAAATCTTGCCTTGGGTAACTACCTCTGACACTTCCAAACTGTGACATTAAGCCCCTTCCTCAATATTGGTGAATAAAATTCAGTTGTGCAATATTCAGTAACCTATAATTGTAAGGTAAATGAACATTCATTTGGCACTATCTAAAAATAACAGAGGATCGTTCAACTTATAATATATAAAACCCTTGGAAAACCAGGCATCCTCCAACTACTAAGAACCTAACCTGAGGGCAGAGGCTGGAAGTGGACAGCAGTCAACTGCAATAGGGTGATATCACATCAACATCAAGGGATGCAGCATTAAGTGGTTTTCTGCATGTTAACAAATATTCATTTTCCTGAATAATTTTATTTTGCAAGTTTCCACCTCTATCACTTTCAAGTTTTGTGCATCTTCTCCTTTTGACTCATTTAATAAACAAGTACTGAGCATATCAACAAGAACTTGTCAACGTTGACTGTACAGATTTGGCTGCAAAGTTCCTGCCCTACAGAGCTAACACACAGCAGACAGGAATTCTGGAATGTCTGTCACAGTACTTTTGCTGAAGGCCTGTTATAACTCAGTTTCTTTCTAGATCCTGTCTTAAGTGACGTATGACCAATGTTAAATTTCAGACAGTGCCACTTGGAAGGGTTCTCAGCTGTGTGGGGATTATTGAGCTGTTGCTTAAACACTGATTTAAGTAAATTAGATATTTTCTGTCCTATAAAACCTGATGACTATGAGAATTCAGGTGAGACCTGAGCTTTTCAAAGATATCACTTTGTACCACTTCCTTCTTCTGATGAGTCTCTAATGTTCTTACCGCTCTTATCACTTTCACAGTATATCACTAACATGAGTTTTGTGATGGCTTTCAAGATTTGCTCTCCAGCTGAAGGTCTTAGCACATATCTCACACGTGTAAGGTTTCTCCCTGTGTGAACTTGCCTGGGATACTGGAGCCATGAAGACTGACTGAAGACTACAACACACATCACATTTATATGGTTTCTTTTTTAAAAATTAACTTTATTGGTACATTTTAGGTATACATTATGATCATATTCATCATTGGGAATTTGTACCTGTATGAGATATATCTTAATTCTTGTTTTTTCCCATTCCCCTTCCCTCCCTTCCACCTCTCCACCGCTCCCTATATACAAAAGCTTTGTTTTTGTTTTTTCTAGGATTAGAAGTCCCATTTGACCCAGCTATTCCCCTGCTGGGTATCTTCCCAAAAGAATTAAAAGCATCATACCACAGTGATATATGTGCACCCATGTTTATAGCGGCACAGTTTGTAATAGCTAAAGCTTGGAAACAGCCCAAATGCCCATCAACTAGTGACTGGATAAAGAAGATGTGGTTTTTTTCTAAAATGGAGTACTATTCAGACATAAAGAATGATAAACTAGAGACATTTATAGCTAAATGGATGCATATCAAGGCCATACTCTTAAGTCAAATAAATAAGACACACATGTGTAAATACTGAATTGTCTCTCTGGTGTGAGAAACTGAAAGTGTAAATGAGGACCAAAATGTATAATAGATAATGTGAAATAGAAAGCAAAGGTTCAAAGGGGAAGGGGAAGTGGGGGTGGTAGGGGAAAGGAAAGAAGGGAAAGAAAAAAAAATGAGGAAAAAAAAGAAAAAAAATATATAAGAAAAGAAGGAAAAAAACCTTTATATGGTTTTTCTCCAGTGTGGACCCTCTATTGCACTTGGAAACAAACTGCAAATGAAGCCCTTACAACACACTTTACATACATATGGTTTCTCTCCAGTAGGAGTTCTCCAATGGGCCTGAAACTGTGAAGGCCGAATAAAGCATTTACCACATTCTTCACACTTATAACATTTCTCTCCTGTATGGACCCTCTGATGCATATGAAGATTTGAGCTATGAGTGAAATGCTTCCTACAGTCCTCACATTTTATGGTTTCTACCCTGGGTGGATCGTGCTGAGCTAAGGCAGAAGCTCTTGCCACATATATTACATTTGGACACTTTCTCCCCTGTGTGGAGTCTCTAATGCTCCTGCAGCTGTGAATCATGAATGAAGGCCTGCCCACATTCTTCACAATCACAATTGTAAGGTTTCTCAATGGACAGTCAGTGTCGATCTATGAATGAAGTTTTCCCACACTGGTCACATTTGAATGGTTTCTCTACAGTATGGACTTTCAGATGAGTTTGCAGGCAAGAGTTCTGACTGAATCCCTTACCACACTTATAATACTTGTAGCATTTCTCTCCCTGGTGAACATAAATGGGTTCAACTCGGTTTGCAACAAGAATTGTGGAAAGAATCAAGTTCATGAACCCAGGTACCACTGTACATTTTTGTTCTTTAATCTGCTAAATTTCTGGGAATTTGTTAGAGCAGGCACAGGAAATACAGTGTCCTTTGCAGGTATGAGAAACAGCAGAAAGACAGGGTGTCTGGAAAAGACTGAGCAAGAAAGACAAGATGTAGTCAAGAAGGCAAGATACCAGAACTCAGGGGTCTCTAAAAGCCATATAAAGGGTTTTTTTAACTTTGAGAAAAATAAGAAGTTATTAAAGGCTTTCAGCAGAGGAATGGAAATTGGATGCACATTTCCAAAGGATCACTTTGACTGTGATATGGTGAATAGGATTTAAATCCTAGGGGTAAGCACACAGGAGCCAGTATGAAGACTACTGCAATAATTCAGGAAAGAGACTTGGCAATTTGGAAGCATGAGACAGCAAAAGGGTGGTAAGAAAATAAACAGGTGGACAATCCAGGAGTGGTGTCACACACCTGTAATTCCAGCACTCTGGTAGGCTAAGGCAGGAGGATTGTTTCAGCCCAACCTGGTAAACTTAGCAATATTTTGTCTCAAAATAAAAAAGATGGGGGACCGTGGAATGTAGCTCAGTGTGAAAGTAGCAAGAGTCAGCTGGGGTGAAAAGAAAGCATGAACAGTTATGCCCTGATCAGTTCTACCTGAGGTGGTTGGACTATCTCTTTGAAAACAGAGTGGGAAAAGATATAGGATGAAGATAAATAGACTTTTATAATCATTTTCCAATTGTAG